AAAAAAAAAAAAAAAAAAAAAAAAAAGAAAAAGTGCTAATCGTTATATTAGCACAAAAACAATTCTTTGCATTTTATAGGGACAAGAAGGTGGATACTGCTACGTATATGCTTCCTTCACAGCTCCCAATGGTACAACAAAATGCAAATGCTTCGACGAGCCATCACTATCCCATCGATAACGAATCCACTAGTTTGCTTCTAGCATGCTGTAATAATGACGATTCCTTGCTCACACCTTCAATACTTTATTGATAATATTTATCAAGCTATGAAGTTTAAAACTTAAAGCACTTTTCATCATAAATCGATTCTCCTATGTGTCCTGAACTATCGCAAAAGTGAAACTAAAAATACTTTGTTTTTTGAATCAACTAATCAAAAGAAAGGCAGCTAGTATTTCAAAACCCCACATGTCATACAAAAACCAACTAACAAAAAAGAGTAACACATTCTGATTTCCGAAATTCAAAAGAATCAAAAAATTCAGTATAATATCATATAGACAATTTTAGAAAATAGAATTACAGAACTACAAAATCAATAATACATAAATTATCGAAAATATCTTTATACCGCAATTATGCGATTCTTTTTCAACTGAAGCAGGTCTCCAAATACCGTATGCCGTATTTCAGATCTGGCATGATTTCAATGATATTCTTCTAGAGCCTCATGTTTCCAAAGACTGAAAGAAAGATTAGTCTTATTGACCGCAAATCTATAATAAAAATTCTTCTTATTCATACTGGTAAAACTGCCGGTAGAATTCACCTTTTTTTTTGAACAACTGCACAAACCCCTCGCATTCCATCAACAAACGTCTTGCATTTTTAATGTTTTCGACTATTTCTTCCCTTTGCTCTCCCTTAACCGTTAACAATTCTACCGCCTTCACATGGTGTACAGATATTAAATCACTGCCGAGCAATAATTCAATATCCGTAGAATCGTATAACGGTAAAGGTACGTTATGAATACTGAATTCTCCTCTTATATCATTCTGTACTTTTTTAATCTGCAAATAAAGTTATCTCGATAATAATTGTTGATAAAAAGTTCTAACAGACGTCTTATCCGCAGTTTCAGCTCTAACAACTGACCGCTACTTTCTCGTACACTTCCATATTGGAACACATTCATATACTGAAAAGAACAAATGATTTATTACTGTTTTGAAGATCTCAAGCACAGATTTGACCTTCAAACTCAGTCTCTCCACTTCTTCTGAACTGGATAGCCTGAAGAAATGATATATAAATATAAAATAAATCGCAAAGCCTTTCATTTTCTTAAATTTCGCTAGTGTGAATATTCAGACCTTTAGTGGTCATAAAAACAAGTGACATTTTAATGAAAAATATTAAGGGGATAAGCAATAAAATATTTACACAGATAAGCACTGTGATTTCATCAATAACTAAATAACAATGTGCCACTTCAACACCTCAACTTTATTTATAGATACCAATTAACAAATGCCAATTCTCACAAGAAAACAAGTAAAAGAACATAATCAAGCAAAATAATACTGAAAGCAATCAAAAAATAATCACTAAGAAGAACGTACCTTTGCACAGTGCAAAAAGTTTTCCTCAATTTCCTTTCCACATTAATAAAATCTTGTTTCAACGTAGCATCCAGCTGAGTTTGACTTTCCCATACATTACTCACACTTGATGCATTCGTTTCACGATAGTCATGAATAAATCTGTCAAACTGAAACAGATTCCAACAAACAATTTTTTGATATGAAGTTTTCATAATTGGATCTCATGAAATTAAAATTAGTCTTAACAAAGCCACATATTGAAAATTAGTTCAATAAAATTTATGAATTAGACAAAAAAGTAAGCACAAAAAATTCCCATAAATTGAAAAATCTATCATAGGAGTAGAACATTTACAACAGTTGAAGAAAACAATACCTGTTCTCTAAAGTAACCCAATGAATCCATCTTCTTGTCACAGTCAATTTCTTCGTTCTCCTCTAAACATTCCGCCATAACCATCATACAATTCACAGGTAACCTCAAAATTAACCAGAGAAACTCTCAATAGGAGTGATCACAACGTGCACCTGCAACAAGCAAACAACTGAATATTTACTGATGTTAAAATTTAATAAGGACCACGGTGAAACTTCTATCACACACTCTGTGATATTACAGATCACGCTTGTTAAGCCATATATAACTTTCTGAAAATATATACTCATATATTTTGGCAAATTTTAAATTATTGTGTCATTCTTCATCTTTATATTGACACTATTTGCGCATTACTTTCCATCTTCACTGTAACATTATTTGTTGTGCATTTTCCATGTAATCGAGGTCAGTAGAATTGTAAACGGTTTATCACCATTGCTATGACTGCAGGGAAAAATAAACAATTTTAGGTGATCGAAATCTAATAAAATACCTATATGCGATCCAGTATTTTCCAGAAACAGTAAAATTAGAGCACTGCCAAATTAAACAATCAAGTTAATTTTCATTTCCTTTACAGTATTCTTGAAATGGAAACTTCACTCACTTAAAAATTGGTTATCACCAGCATCACTTTTCATTTTTCACACATTTTTATTCGAAATCTTGCTGACAACTCTTAAGATAAATTATTAAATATACTCCCATTCATTCTTTAATTTTCAAAAAGGCAGTAATTTTCAAACAAATTTATTAAAATCAAATTCATACAAAAAAAAACTATAAATTTTCTGTTACATTTATATCATCAGTCATGATTTTCTCACAACTTATATCAAAAATTCACCAAAGTCATGACAGTACAAAGCAGTTAGCTTTTCCTTGTGACAATTTATCCAGCAGACTATAATATCGAAGTATTTTTTGCAACGCTTTGCATATATATTCAGCGACAAACTGATCTTTTATTTGTGTACTCCATTTTAGTATACCAGCATCGAGCAAGAATTCGACAACAAAATCGTAACAGTTCCAATTCTTCTCATCGTAATGCTGAAATATGCAAAGAAAATTGTACAAATACTGTATAAATTTCAGTTACTATCCCTTATTTTCACTACATAACTTTTAACAATAATGTTAAATCTACGACTTATTGCGATGAAAAAGATCATCACTTCGTGTATTGATTTATAGAGGCTATTTAAAGTAAAAGAGTTAAAATTGTGGACGTCGTACTGAACCTTATGAGTAAAGCGATTGCGATATTTCTTGATAAAAGTTTTCATCCGCATATCGTACATTTCGTTATTACTGAACTTATATATACAGAGGCAATCATTCCAAAATGACTCTGCTACTAGGCCTTGTTTAGTATAAGAAAATACTACACCATTAGAATTTGATAATCCAATATGAAGATTATCTCCCAGTTTGTATCTGCGAAATATTTTCACTACATAACTTTTAAAAGAGAGTAGCATAATATATAATGTATGAAGAGAGTTCCAAAAAATTTCGTATTTCAAATTTTCAAATGAAGTGATAGCAAATAGTATTATTCGGAAAGCAAACACTGAAATGTGGCAATTATGGCTGGCACTTACAACAGACTAAATTATGAAGTTATTTGTATCTAAATTTTAGGAATGGAAGGAAAGAAAATGAGTGAGTACAACTGAATTTAACAAAATAAAAATAAAAAAAAATTACTGCAAAAACTATTTTCGTCGAATGAAAGTTGAATATATTAATGATCAGCAAGAACTTCCAACAATCTTAGGAGCTAGCGTAATGCAAATAGAATTCTAACATCTTAACCTTTCAAATGTATCTGATGATGGCTTCAGAAGTATACAACAGCAGTTGAGAGCAGTTGAGACATATAGATTTGGTTGAAAAGTGGAAAGTAACATAGTATCCTCAATTTCGATACCACATTTCGGGCAAGATTGGAAATCAGGAGCATACATTTTCGTAACACAGCACCATCCACATTCACTATGAACAAGAACCAGAACCATCGGTCTCATTTCCTACAAGATTATTACTTGATCATTATCAGAATGATAACACACCCAAGCACTACAAAAACGATGCACATAACGAACTCATCCTGCACGAATCATTAATTACAGATCTAATTTCAAAATTTCTACACATTGCCCCTGACAATGCTATTTTAAGCTACTTGAGAAGCTTCCACACGAACTTCAGCTCCTTTTTTTGCTACTGGAATGCCCATTACCTTGTTTCTGTAGCTAAATCGTATGAACTATCATTTATACTTTCTAGTCAAACAAAACATGTGACCTCCTGGAACGAAATTGAAATCCTCTTTATCATATACCAATAAATAAGGATATCACAATCAATCCAGAACCACTGTAATACAATAGAAAGATATCCAACAATAACTGTAATGTTGAACTTTTAAGATCGCATCCCCCCACTTTCACAAATATCATGGAAATGTTCTTGTTCGGACGACCTCCTATCTCAAGGCAAATAATTCACATGAAAGATCTCACTCAAATGAAATAAGATTCATCTGAACTCCAGTTCACAAGCATAGTCCTCTCCAGTACTTTTCAACTGCCGAATAAAATCATGTCAATAAAAAAATGCAGGACTGATCAAGTCATTTATACCAAATTAAAAAAAAGGGTTGATCACAAAAAAACCTAAAAATCTGCCATTGATTGGAAACTTGAGATGGAAAGTGATTGATCTATGCCGATGAAGCGAAAATTTCCAATGACTTATCCTGCAGTGTAGGAAAACCAAGAAAATATCATTTTTTACACCGAAACAATGGTGGATATATGAAGAATAAAAAATAAAAATCAAGAGAATGAAAACAAAATTTAGTACAGGTTGAACATAATGAATCTTTGCGAGAAAAACTTGCAACAAAAAATATGGTACGAGACCCAAGGATGAAACCATTTGCTATTTCTACTCTCCTAAATGTAATTCAATAATCAAAATATCAAAATAAACAAAATAAATACATTTTAAGAACAAACACATTTTGCTACTCTTGAAAATGAAGGCTGTTCAAAAAATCGATGGACCTCAGAAAAATGAGAAATTTGAATTTTCCAAATACAGCTTTTGAAATATCACATCAATTTATATTTGCTCGATTCATTGTTCCAGTACTCATAACCTATGATCGTGCTGAAAACTTAGATATTTGCAATATTGAATATATTCTAGTTTTGAATATGAATAGTAATCTCAAGATTCAGAATTGTATAACACTAGAATCTTGATATACACTCAACTTATTCTGATTTCCAATTTTTTAAGTAAACATTTAAATGATGCTTCATATGTAAAACAATTCAAAACCCTTGATACAACACTGGTATTCAGGTGTAGAATAAAAACAGGGGGCAAATAAATTCAGAGAGAAATTAAATTAAACAGAAAGTGAAGTAGTATTCATCACCATACCATTCAACAAACCGCTATCTTCCTGCAATTTTTCATCGGTGTGTTTGATGAATTCGTGTTTCCGTAATGCTGAGCTGCAAAAACTTTTTTAGAATCACTAACATTGGTACTTAACCATTCAATACAACTGCACTTGATATTATTCAACAACAAATAATTCAAATCAAAGAATATTTCCAATTTCAGTAATTTTAGAAGCTATATGAAGAGAAAATCACTGAATAAAACAAAACGTGACTGGATTTCAGTTTTGCAATGGTCCGTACTTGGGATTTAAAAGAATTTTTCAATGCGGAATGAATGCACACGGATGAATAATGAAAATAACTACAATTGTAGTTTGAAAATATATTTCAGCTCAGAAACGACTCTATCGACATAAATATTCTGTTTCATTATAACAGCATTTATTTTATTGAAGTCATCATAGCTGCAGCAGCACATTAGCAAGAGATAACCTATCTCGGAATTCCTTTCCGCATATTGAACAAGGATAAGGTCTCTCGCCTGTGTGTGACCTGATGTGTATTGTGAGAGCCTGTGATTGTGTAAACCCCTTATTGCAGTATCCACATGTGTATGGCCGCTCACCAGTATGAGTCCTTTCATGAATGTTCTGAAAAGCCAAACTCAGAACTTGAACTAAACAAGATAATGCAGAATTTGACTCAACCAATTGACTACCGATTTCAATCACACCAACAGTGTTTAAAATCACATAAAATTATGCTCATACATTTTTCTCACAA